CTGCTATCCTCAAGGTCAGCAGTTAATCTCACCAGCCACTCCTGAAAACCTGGTCAGGGTCCTTAGGAGTCAAAATTGACTTAAGGGCACTCGACAAGCATTGGGCCATCTGGGCATAGGCAGTGGAATAAAAAATTGGGCACATAGTATATCGACTTTGTACTCTGATGGAATACAAAATCTGAAAACATGCCCTTTTTATTAACATTGTTGCTGGAAAAACTGACATAGAAAATAAGGGGAAAAGAGGTATATTGGTGGACAGATTTTGTTGGTATTATTGCCATTTTTCCCAAACTACTAACTCTTATAATATCATGCTACTGATTTTTAACAATAAGTGAACTATATTCACTTTTCTTTCTAAGTTACCTCCTAGCCCCAAGTTTTATCCATCTGGTTGTCGCATACTTGGTAGTCTAGCTGGAGAAACAGCACCATCTGCTGGGGACAAGTTGCTGTGTATCTTGGCAAAAAGCTAGTGACTTTCAGCTGTTACCTTGTACAACTCTAAACTTGTTATCAGTTCAGCTTAGCAACTAAGGCCAGCCTTCCAGAGGTTAAACAGGAAACCCTGATAGTCCAGAACAGCTGATACAATTGTAAAATTTCCTTTGTCTGAGGCCCTTCTTCTGAAAAAGCAGCCTCAGGTTTGACCACAGACTAGAAATCAGTACTGTTGAGAGCAGCAGCACTACTGAGGTTAAAATCTGGAACAACAGGAACGAGTCACAACTTTAAGAGGTCTTCATACCCTGTTTGCTTTGCCGCCCCCCCCCAAAAAAAAGTGAGAAAATTTGGTGCGTTTGTCGTCTTTTTATGGAAATTCCAGATGTGATGTTTTTCCCCTTCCTTTATTCATCTGGATTTACCTCTACATTTTCTCCCATCCCCACTCCCCCCAGGATCCTTTTTTATCACGTTTAATTGCAAATGGATTTTTTAGGACTCAATATTTAACTTTCACTTTTGTCTTCCATTTACAAAGTGAATTTGGTATTTCAAAGTTCTCCTCATGCCTGAATTTATTTCCCGTCCTACTACTCATTGTCAACTACACACTTTTTGGGATACTTCTTTATCATTAATGGCCAGTGCCTCTCTACCTCAATTCTCTACTCAACTCTCTCCTTTTCTTTCTTAAAATTTCCTTTAAAAGGAAATTGTGTAATTTTCTTTTACTTTTTCAGTTATTCCTTTACTGTCATTAAAAGATACACTTTTCTCATGTCTCATGAGTTTTTCAGAAACTCTTTCAATTTTTTGCCCATGGAATCCTTCAACAGTACAACTCCAGGTTTGATTTTTTTCTTTACTTTTCTGTTTGAGAAATGCCAAGTAGGTCCTTCCCTTTGGTTTTCTAACCAGGTCTTTGCCCATTTCATTACAATACTTTGTCTTTTTGAGCTCTTCTGTTGTTAAGTGTTGTTGGTTCTGACTCATATAGGGTTTTTGAGGAATGGCTTGTGTTTGAACTACCAACCTTATGGTTGTTGTTGTTGTTGTTGTTAAGTGCCGTTGAGTCGGTTCCGACCCATAGCGACCCTGTACAGGGTTTCCGAGGGTGTAAATCCTTACGGGAGTAGAAAGCCTCATCTTTCTCCCGCGGAGCGGCTGGTAGTTTCGAACCGCTGACCTTAAGGTTCGCAGCCCGATTCATAACCACTACGCTACCAGAGCTCCTTAACCTGATGGTTAGCAGTACAATATTTATAATACAGTCCCATACTAGCACTCCATTCAGCTCTTATACTTCCTGATTTCTTCCATTCACTTTAGCTACTCTACCTTCAAGAGCAAGTTTCAGCTTTTCTTCTGACATCCATTTTGGTATTTCCTTTTCTTTCCTGTCTTTTTACTGACCTTTTGTTGTCTTTGTAATGACCTTAATGTTATCTTGCAATTCGACTGGTCTTCTCAGTCCATATGTCAAATCTATACTTGAAATGATCTCTAAATTCAGGTAAGAAATACACAAGGTCATACTTTGGCTGTCATGGATTTGTCCTAATTTTCTTCAGCTTCAACTTGAACTTGAATATATAAGTAATTATATGCTCTGAGCTTGTCCTGATATTGAGCTTCCTGCCCATTGTTTTCCAACAATGTAATCAAACTGATTCTTGTGTATTTTCATCTAACAAGGTCCATGACTACAGTAGATAATTACGTTGTTGAAAAAGGTTATTTCCCATGAATAAATCATAATCCAAGAAACTGGACTAACTGGACTATGAAGAACATGGCATTAGGAGTGGAGAAACACTCATTAGTATGTAATATGCAAATGATATAACCTTTCTTTCTGAAAGAGAAGGGGATTTGAAGCACTAACTAATGAAGATTGAAGATTACAGCTTTCTTTCAATACATAAAACTCAACATAAAGAAAACAAATATCCTCACAACTGGACCAATAAGCAACATGATGAACAGAGAAAAGATCGCAGCTGTCAAAAATGTCATTTTACTTGGGTCTACAATCAACACTCATATAAGCAGGTCACGAAATCAAACGACATACTGCACTGGACATATCGGCTGCAAAAGACCTCTTTAAAATGTCCAAAAGCAAAGATGTCTCTCAGAAGACTAAACGGCATCTGACCTAACCCATGGTACTTTTAGTCACCTTCTACCATATGAAAGCTAGACAATGAATAAGGAAAACCCAAGAATTGATGCACTTGAATTATGATACTGGCAAAGAATACAGAATATACCATGGTCTGCCAGGCGAATGAACATACGTGTCATGGAAGAATTACAGCCAGAATGCTCCTGAAAAGTGAGGAAGGTGAAACTTTGTTTCATATACTTCAGACATGTGATCAGAGGTATGAGTACCTGGAGATGGACATGCTTGGTAAAGTAGGTCAGTGAAAAGAGGAAGACCTTTCCAACAAGATGAACAGACACAGTGGCTGCAACAATGGGCTCAAACATAGCAAAGATCATGAGGACAGTGCACAATCAGGCAACATGCCATTGTTTTACATCGGGTTGCTATGAGTCTGAACTGGGTCACCAGTACCTAACAACAAGAATGGTTTTACCATCATTTGTAAATTACATCCATTTCTAAGATTTACTTAAACTCATTTCTCTTTTTCAATTCCTGTGTACTTTCATAATCCTAAATTTTCTTAAAGGAGCTCTGGTAGCGTTATGGTTACGAGTCAGGTTGCTAACCTCACGGTCAGTGGTTCAAAACTACCAGAGGTTCCTCAGGAGAAAGATGAGATTTTCTGCTCCCATAAAGATTTACAGCCTCGGAAACCCTATACAGTGTACCTACGAGTTGGAACCGAGTCTATGGCATACTACCACCATCACCACCAAGTTTTCTTAGGACTGCTGGTGTGATGCTGTATGATCAATACTGAACTGCAAACCACAAGGTGAGCCATTCAAATCCACTTAACAAAACCAATGGCACTTTACCGGCTATTGTTATTGTTGTTAAGTGTCATCGAGTTAGTTCTGACTCATAGCGACCCTGTATAGGATTTCTGAGTAGTGGCTGGTGAGCTTGACCTGCTGATCTTGTGGTTCAAATCGACTTTGCAGTCTAGTACATTAACCCACAATGCCACACCAGGACTCCAGCTATTAGGAGATAAAAATTATCAATAAAAAATATTTTATTTCCTCGGTGTTCTCATATTGGTAAAACTACTTACTTCCTTTTCCTTATTTGAAGCATTCCTGAAATTATCCTTTCAGGATCCATTACAGTTTTTCTTAATTAATTAGAAGAATTAATAGCTCCTTCAAGCATTAACATGCACTTCAAATACAAGATTCGCAAAAATTTAAGAAACCCAACCCATATCCTGATTGTTTACTTACTATCCAAATGTAATAGTAGCCAAACACTCAAATAATAGTGATTTTCTACTGGCATTCCATTAAAAAAACACACAAGAGGCCATACATTCACATAACATCCAAAGAATTTAGTCAAAAATGAAATAAAATTCTTATTTTTTCATTCTCTTTTAAGGTCTGTTTCATTTTTTCTAACGCAGTTGTAGTATAGTTCAGGGACCCACATAAAACTGAGTGGGAAAAAAAGTTTTATTAATCACAACATGAAATCGACATGAGATTCTATCAGAATTAAACCAGGATAAATAATGCTGGTACAAAATTTACATGTCTCACATCTATTACAAAGGAAATATTGTTACCTATTAAGAGTTCATTTTAATCTTATGGACTTTTTTCAGTAAAACCTTTTTTTAAAAAATAGTTAAGTAACGATATTCCAAAACTGTGCTAAATAGTAGTTAGAAAGGCAACCATAAGATCTTTAGTAACAACTGACAGGATCAGGAATGTTTTTTTGAATATTAAGAACTACGTATCTACTTCAGCTGTCTGTTAATGCACCTTTTTTGACAAGACATTGCTTGCTGAGGCTGCCATGATTAATAAGTTTCTTCTTAAGTAAGAGGTGCTCAATGTTAAGGCCTGAGTACATTTTCTTTCCCAATTTTGTTCCTTGGAAGCAGAAACAAATACCTTTTTATTTGCATAAAGGGAGTTAAGAAATGAATTAAAACAGGGACAATGGAATTATTATTAAGAATAAGTCTTTGAAATACTTCCAGTTTTTAAAATAGCAAGGCTTCTGAATAATTTCCCAAAACTAGTTTTCCATATTTTTACATGACCTGATAAATGTAACACATTTGATCTATTATATTTTAGTAATTTTTTCTATTGAATACACTTTTCCCTCAAATGAGGGTTACAGTTGTGGCTTTGAAAAATGTCCACATATAATACAGTTTTAAATAAGCTTCCATTTTCACTGAACTGAGCATAACCCCCCCATCCACGTATGTGCCCACAAAGGGTAATTTAAACATATACACATTTACCTGCAAACTTATGTGTATGCGTTTTTAAAGTAAGTTACTTTCACCATTAGAATACAACTAGACTACAGGGACGACTCTGAGGAACAGTTTGGTCCTGCTTTGGAGCCTTCTCTAGCTTGAGGCAGGCAGGCAGAGTTCACGGAAGGATGTGATGAGGCTGTAGTAAGTTTTTTCATCATCGGTCAGTCCTGCATTGCCAGGCCTTACCACCACAGCGACGTGCACATCTGCTTCCTCGGCAGCACTGGCCTCTGTGAAATCAGAGTACATGTATGAAGTTTCAGCAGAGTTGCCTCAATTATGGGCAAGGAAGAAAGGACAAAACAAGTTTAGCCCTGATTTGATCATTAATTGTTGTTAGATGGTAGGCATATGGTGCTTATCACTCTCTCATATGTTTTAACTTCCCATGATAAAAAAATTTTTAAATACGTAACTGTATTTGATAGAGAAGAATGACAAGTGTACACTAGACTTCTGAGCTTTATGAAGTCTTTATGAATGAGAAAGGACAGGTCTGTGTCCTGTCCCTCTTCTTTTCTTTATGGCCACCCATCAGTTCTATAGAGAACTAAGCTGTTCCTGAAAAGGCATGATGCCAAGTAGTACCAATTAAGCAGCTATTGGACAAAAGGAATTCATGATCTAATCAGGCCCAAGAACCTGAAATAGGACCTGCTCTCCCCTCCAAAGCCCACACATGTTCTATCCCCTATCTGGACCTCCCATCTCTTCTGCCTGGAAAATTTCCACTCTTAAAAAATGCAGTTCAAACAGAACAACTTCTCAACCACTACCACCTGTATTAGAGCATCCACTGTGCTCCTTTAATACCCTCTAGTTACTTCTAGCATGACAAAATAATTGACACATTTATTACCAGCTATCTCTTGTTATAGACTGGGACTGCCTTAATATCATTGACTGTGTGGTATGGGAAGAGTAAAAATAGGACTAGTCAAATGAAACTTAGTAAGCTAAGTATTACAAAGATGTTTCTAATGCGTCTTGGTTTACATCCCTCTCCATTTTACCAACTCTTTGTTTTCTCCTCACCAATTCCTTGTTGTTAAGTGCCGTGGAGTCGGATGTTGACCCATACTGACCCA